GTTTAATTCAAATCTTGCGTTAATTTTGGGACACCAATTCGATTATGTGTATTCACTTTACGAATTTTCGATTTACGAAATGTCAAATATAAAGAATGTATTCCATATGTTATACCATTTAGGTTTATTAAGAAGTGCTAATGTAATTGTAACGATGATTTGCATGAAATATTAGTAAAAAAAAAACGAATAAAGTGAATAATTAATGTTAGAAAATGTTGTTCGTAGAAAATATTTTATAGCAGAAATCGGTTCGAAAGGAAACTTCCTATAAAATCACAAACACGGTCGCGCTATGAGAAATAAATTACAAGGACGAAGCTTTCAAAGTTGTAGAATATAGAGTGATTATATTATATACCTTTTTTTTGCTCGCACAGAAATTTCCATACTGGACCTAAAAAGCGTTAGAAAACAGCAATTTAATTGTTTCCTCAATTTTTTTTTTGCTTGTTATATATTCAATTTATATTTGGTTATGTTATGAAATCTCTGCTGACAACAAACAAATAATCAAAAGGAAATTATATAATGTTGTGTCCATTTATAACCGTTCGTGCATTGAAATCAATTAGAAGTAAATTTGGTTTTCAATTAATTTTTTTTTTCGATTCTTGAAATTGCTTTCTTTTCGGTTAAATGTAAACACCTTTTTGATTTGTTTATTAATGGAGATTTGTTTTTATTAGTATTTACGTAGTAAGATATTAATAAACTACTATTGTGGATTGATACATCAATTTTTATTGGTAAAAAAATTAGTTGTTTAATGGCAATATTATATTAGCTAATTAAAATTCTACTAATTTAATTTTAAACTCATTTGTAATTGTATAGTAAACAAAATTAATTAATTAATTTGTTAATTATGTAATTTTAATAAATATTGTTGTTGTTTATATAAATATATAAATATATTGCGTATCGACAAATCAATTATGTAAAATAAATGTGTTTAATTTAAATTGGTGTTGAAAGTTACGTGTTATTTCCTTGTTAGCAGTGATATATAGCTGAATAGTATTTAATAATTGTTTATAAAGTAATATAAATGATTTTTTAGCAATGTGCTACATAATATTTGCACTTAAATAAAAAAAAGAAGATTTAAAGTGTTTCTAAACGAAATATATATGTTTGTTGTTTTGATTTCATTAATGTAAATTATTAAAAAAAAGTGTAATTATGAAGATTTATAATTATTTTGTATTAGAATGTACGTTTGTAATTGCTGTGGTATAAATGATATTTAATTATTAGTAAATTAATTATGAAACATAAATACGTTTGAAATTGGTGTAGAAAGTTGCGTTTTGTCTCGTCGTCAATGGTGATCTATATTGTATATTGGTCTGGGTTTTGAAGTAAACGGAGTAAAACTTTCGGAATCGGTTTCGTAATGCAATGTGGTTTCATTGAGTCGCGATTGTGTTGAGCAATTAATTAGAAACAATCAACTGTAGCTTTAATTAAATTCGAGACCGTTGCAAAAGACCCGACGAAAAATCCGAGACAATTGAAATTATATATATTTTTTTTATGCAAATGCGATATTGTTTCGCCGGGTGAGAGTTCGACGAAGGATTCCTTTTGATTTTCGTTTTTAGAAACTTCTTGTTCCGTTCCGTGTGTATGTCGAAACGTGCACGCGTAATATCCGAATGCACAAATGAAAGCATTAATTGAACTAATTAATGTACGCATCCGAGGAAGTGGTTGAACGGTGGAAATTTGATGCAAGCAACACCATCGGAATTCAAGTTAATCCAATCAATCGGGCATGCTATGCTACACTAGGTAAAGCGAGAGGGGAAAAAAATTAGGAAGTGCTGGTGTTTGGATAGCGGCTTGGGGGCGACATCCGAACGTGCCTAGGTCGCGTCTTCAACGCTTAATGGGTTTTAAGCAGTTTACCAGCTTATCGATTACGCCCTTACTGTATATGCTGAGGTGGCCGTCGGTGGTGACCTCGTAGAAGGGACTGAAAGTGATTGGACGGTCCCTGTGTATCCACCTGGTGCGAGGTGTTGGATTCCCAACGGCCAAGCAGGGTAAAGATACTTTACTCTTAACGGCTTTGTGGAGGACCTGGCTGAAGGAAGCTATACGAGATGGGGCGCGAGTATTCGTAGCTTGTGCTACGATGGATGTGGGTTCACCCTCCCCGACGTTCGTCGTCGCCGAAACCCAGAACTCGTACAGCTGGTGTTCAACAAGATTCCGTACTTCGAAGAGCAACGCAGGATTATGATGGGAATCTTCCACCCGCACCGAATGCGTAGTGTGTTTCCCGACTCGTCCTGCCTCTCTTCCATAAACAGTATAATGATGGATGCGGCCGTTAGGTTTTGAAGGTGGCAGCCAGGACACCAGAATCGATTCTGCAGTAAGAGCTGCCGCCTTAATGCTAGCCGGAGGTCCTGGTACTGTACAAAAACAGAAAGGAGTCCAAGTTTGGATCCGAGCAGGAACTCATTATGCGCGGGGGATTTAACGTGAATTAGCTTCACGGCCAACTGGGTTTTCATTAGTTGTATGATTAAAGAGAAAGGTTGATGGATTGTATGTGAACTGTGTCGCTGTTTGTTGGCGGTGTTGGTTGCCTACTTACCATCTTCTTCGGTGGTGCAGTATATGGGTAGGCTGAGGATGCCGTCTCCAGCGCCGGTGTAAGCCAGAACCCTAAGGGAATAATTGGTATACTTGTAGAGGCCGTGCAGGTACGTCTCGGTGCTGGGGGTCCTCTTAACTTCTCCGGTGGCCGGGACATCGGCTGAATAATTCAACAATCAATTTTTGCCCAACGCCAATTGCATTAGAAGCCGCATCAATTATGTATACAAGTAGTAAATCAAACTGGATGTTTTATTTATCGCACTTACCGTTTTCTTCGGTGGCGATAGGGCGGTAATAAATTTTGTAGCCCTGTATAATTCCTCCATGATAGGCGGGCAGCGGAGATATCCAGGAAACCTTCATGCTCTGCGAGGACATTTGCGAGCATTGGATGTTCATGGGTGAAGCCTCTGGGACGCCTTCTCTAGTGGTTCCTACCACAGTTGGAGAAAGCGGTCCGACGGAAACGCTGTTGAAAGCGCGAACGTTGATATCGTACTTGGTGAACTTCTTAAGACCGGTCAACTGGACTTTGGTGGTTCCCCATCCCTTAACCGTTAACGTCTTCGAGGAAGCGTTATTGGTTACGCCTTGTATGTTCCAGTTGACTATGTAACCTAGTAAATCACCGTTCCAGGACTCCCTAGAGGGAACCTGCCAGGAGACAAACAACTCTGAAGCTCCAACTGGTTCGACTTGGACATCCCGAGGTGCTTCCGCCGGTTCCTCTTCCTGCGTCTTGACCACCACCTCTTCGGTGAACGGGCTCTGGTCGATGCTGTTCAAAGCCATCATCCGGATCTTGTAGGCAGTTGCTGGGTAGAGACCACCCATGACAGCGGACTCACGTTCCTCTCCCGAGCTGAAAACAACCATGCAAAGAAATCGCTAGTTGCAGCAGCTGCGATTCTCTACCTTTCCAGGGTCTGAACAATCGGTAAGGTGATGTTCTGGACAGCGCTGTTCTCCCAATCGTTGTAGCCCACGCTCAGAGGCTGGTACTGCACCAGGTATCCAATGATCGGACTATTCCCATCAAATGGTTTCCTCCAAGCCAAACGGACATTCCTGCTGGCCACCTCCACAACCTCCAAAACACCAGGTGCGTCAGGACGTTCTTGTACAGCAAGATTAATAATATGATCGCTACGTCCATAAGCGTTCTCCGCCAAACACTTGTACACCCCTGAATCATCTCTATCGGAACGATTGATGGTCACCTGCGACTTGAGCCCATTCTCGGTCTTCGACTCGGTCAAAGTAAATCTGCAATGCATAAATTAAAGCCATTGTTTCGCGCTGCTCTCAGATCGAGGATCAAGATCAACAGGTAGTTGCCCCTCGACAATCAAGATATATATATATATATATACGTAAACATATATACATATTGTACTTAAAATTATAATAGTCGCTTAGGAGTTTGGGTATCGATTAACCAAAAGCATTGAACAAATTCCCCACGAATTATATAACGCAGCGTGCGATATAAATTAGTTTTCGGCAACAATAATAAAATTTAATTAGCGATAATAAACGAGATATTGAAAACCGATTTTAATTATATGGAATTGAATGGGTTTCATTTAAACAAATTTCCTGGGGGGGTTTTATTATTTAATTAGGAGATATCGAAATGCATACAATAGCCCTCCATAATTAAATACCTCTGTTGCTTGTATTGAACAAAATTACTTAGTTTGTAAAGCTATTCAATTGCTTCATCTGCAATCAACTCAGAGCTGAAACGTTTACCGACAAACGTAATCGATAAATTAGATATCTAGGTATTTTATAATTGCATAATTTTCTAAATTTAAAAAAATAAGCTATTATTTTAGATAGTTAAACTAGCAATAGTATTATTAATATTGGATGTTAAATATTAAATTAACAAGTGTTTATTTTAATTACCTGTAGTTGTTGAGGTTCATTCTGTTTCCGTTCATAGTCCACATAATTTCTATAGGAGTGTCACCGTAGACGTGGCAAATGAGAACGACGGGGCCACCGCGTTTCGTGGAGACGTTCCTAGTAGCAATGTCGAATCGGGCAGGTTCTGAAATAATATTTCAGAGAAATTGATTTTGGCGAAATGGGCACTATTAGAGTCTCGAGCTCATGAATTATGAACGTTTCCCAATCTATTTGGTAATTAATGAAAAGGGATCATCAAACATACCATTTACACTGACATATATGACTTTGCCTAGGCCCGATCCTATGCCATTAGTAGCTCTGCATAGATAATGTCCTTCGTCCTGCGGACCGACAGCCTCCATCCAGATGGAACCGTTTGAGAGGAGAACAGCGCGTCCGTGTAGACTGAGCAAAGGCTTGTAATCCGCGTTTGTTTTACCTGCGAGCAAAAATAATTGGTATTGGGTGGCACGACAAAGTATTCACGGTTGTTGGGAGTACCTTGTCCTTTGAGCCACGTAATCTGCGGATGAGGGAATCCTTTGGCAGCACAATCCACGATTACGGCATTGCCGAGTAGCACAGAGAGATCCTGCGGTTCGATGATCCATTGGGGAGCGACTGAAAGGATGTGTGTCAGTAATTTGTCGTCGGATCGATAACGACAATAAATATCACTTTACCTTTTACCATTAAGTTGGCAGTGTAATTAGCTCTGGCTGCTGAATTACTGGCTACACAGGTGTAAGCACCGCTGTGCTTCGATGTAACTTCCTTAAATATTAGCATGCTGTAGAATTCGGCCGCCCTCTCCTCAACCTAAAATTCCGCTCGATAAATATTGAAAGCTGCGTTGCACGAGGATTTATACCTGCAGGGAAGCGGAAATTGGCATATCGTCTTTATACCATGCGAAGTGAATTGGCATATCGCCGGAAGTGACGTAGCAGGTGACTTGAGCGCGACCCCCTTCCTGAAGGCTCGTCGGAAACGTGAATGGCTCCAGGATCGGAGGACTGTGGACGATAAGCTGTATATTCCTGTGGGCCATTTCGCCATCTCTACTAGAGACGAAGCAAGTGTATATGTCGGAATCGGCGACAGGATCGAGGCGAGATATGATCAGTGCACCTCCGTCTTCCAAACGATGGCGAAGATCTAATGGGAGATCCTGACCGTGACGCTTCCAACGGACAGAATCTATAGGGTATCCTGAATAGGGACAGTGTAGGGTGACATCGGACCCGGCGACTGCCTTGACGGGAGCGATGGATCGCGTGTAGGGTGGTCCTGTGACAAAATCCATTACAACCACTCCACGACCTCATGAATAAAACATTACCATAAATATTAAGCCTCGAGGCATGCTCCGCGGAGCCCAGAGAGTTAACTGCTCTGCAAATGTATAGACCGCCATCCTCGACGCGAACATTGGTTATATTCAGATGGGTTATTACGTCGCCGGATTGATCGACGTACTGCCCGATGGCATAGCTAGTTAGAAGAGACAATCATCAAGACAATATTCATTTGCAAAGTTATAGTGTTTTACCGATGACCGACCGTCAGTTCGGTGAGTGGCTCACCGTCGAGCAACCACCGGAACTGAGGTGGCGGAGATCCCGTGGCCGAGCACCTCAACGATATCTGAGGTCCCGGCCTGAGGGCCTGCTCGATGAAGGTGTACTGAAGCTCCGGCACCGTGTCTGCAATCATTGCAAGCATTGGAATGATCTTGCGAGCCGAGCGGCGGCCTCGGGGGGCGGCTGAAGCAACGCCGCCTCCTTTGTTCGCGCATCCAGCGGGTGAAACGAAAAGTGGTTGCAAATAATAACTCAAGTCGAGGCTCTATATCCGCAAAACCGCCCCCGTCATGGCCCCCGGACCGCAGATAGCGGCGTGGGGGGGTGGGAGCGGGTGCGGGTGCTGGCGCGTTCGCCGAGAAAAAGCCCCCTCCCGGAAATGACTTTCGACTTCCGTCAACAATATATCATGTAAACTCACGTTTCCTCTCTTTTCTCATAAAATAATTTTATACTTGAATAAAGCTGAATTCAAGATCGCGCCGCTTTAATGGCCATTTTCCCCTTTTCCCTCCGAATAAAATTAAAGAAAACGTCATTAATTACATCAGAGATAGAAGAAGAGGGACAGGAAGAGGAGCGAAATAGATTAAAATGCTTTTGTACGTCCTCGCAATGCGCTGCACCTTATGTATATGGAGGGAAATTGATAGTTTCATTTAAAACCCAGACACCGACAACAGACATTCTCCATAACAAAGAGATCATTGCATCAGACCATCATAAATTGGATCACTCACCGACAACCAACACCACAAACATTTATAAGAGCACTAAAGTGCAACCAAAAATAAATCAAATAAATTCCTTTTATATTAAAAAATTCAAGTAAAATTAACAATTGAAGTGACACATAATAAAAATGATTTCATACTTAATTGCTTATTTTTAAATTATAAGAAATTATTCCATTTTATGGAAATCAAAATTTGTATATATGTTTCGAAACTGAGTTGCGTCAATGTACGTTTTGGGACTTTGGGCATAACAGCTTAATACCTCAGTTATTGAAAGCTGCGCGTGATTTGATATTCAATATCGATTGGTTGCTATTCACAGCAAATAAATTTGATTGATTGACTACCTGTGGATATATTTAGCAGCGTCTATAAAGAATTCAATGATACTGATGAATTATCTTACGTCATCGTTGAAAACCATAAATTATAAAATGGGTGAAAACTTTTACATTTTTATGTCACATTTAAAATACGTTGAATAATATCTAATTAATTAGTTCGTTTTAATAGTCACGTAATAATTTATGGATCAATAATATATTTTAAATTATTAGTAAGCCTAATTGCGTTTGATGCTCGAGTTATTCAAAGCCGAGTGCAAAGGATTACGTTTTGATGAGGATTATTTCCTGAAATCGGTTAATTGGATCGATGGCTCCGGTTGCGCCGGTATTTTGGGTATAAATAATTTTAATTATTAATGCATTATTTTGTGGGGGCGGGGGTTGGACATGAGGGGCGACAGCGGTGGTGCAAATATTTATACTCCAACCCATAAATATCTCCCTAATTCAAACATCCCGGATAATCAAGTGGAATAAAAAGGGGATGGAGCGGATGCACACATCCATAATACGTAATCACCTGCAATCATGCTAAACGACAAACAATTACAACCATCCCAGCTCATGAATATTCATAGTTATTAATCCGATAACCGCCTATCGTTCCATTCATACACTCCACCAAAAATTGATTGACTTCCCTCCCTTTCAGCTTTCGGTTGATTTTATTCTTCTCTTTTTCTCTGTATCCCTTTTGCACGTACGCTCTCCCTTTATGTCTATTGTTTCCTAGCCTATTCTCCGTTAGTTTAGGGCCGGAAGAAAAATGACCCTGGTATCAATCAGTCACGTCAGAAATAGACTTACCACCTAGTCGTAGCTCAGCGCTGCCCTGACAGCTTTCCCGGTCATTCCTCACGATGCATTGATACATGCCACGATCGTGTCTCGTGACGCCGCTCACAGATAAAACCAGATGACTTAATAGCCTTATCCTGGAATTCATATCGGCAAGGATAGGCTCACCGTTCCTCAACCACTGTACCCTTCCAACCGGTGATCCCGATACTGTGCAATTGAACATTGCGTTCTCTCCAGAATTAACAATCTGCAAAATCAACATCCTAAGCAAACAATTCACCGACAACGTATAGTGAGATGATTGCTAAATACAGCTGGTTTCCTATAGTAAATTTCAAAAAATAAACTACTAGGTCAATTATCTATTTTTTTTGTATATTGAAAATATATATTCAACATTTGTCAATGTTAAAGTTAAACATTTCATACATCATCAGCTAGTATTATTGGACTACTACCTAATTGGATGTCTTCAAATTGTAGTTGATGATCTACTGGTACTCACCTGAAGCTGTGGCAGGACGTGCACGTTCAGTTGAGCAGTGACGGTCAGTTGCATGTCAAGCTTCTGTTCTCCGAAGTGGTTGGTGACCTTGCAGGTCCAACGGCCGGCATCCTCGTGATTCAATCGCTTGATGTGTAGGATATCCTGCAGCGGGGCATAGCGCGGGTTCGAATATACCGGCTGCAGGTGTCCATTTACTTCCCTGTACCAGCTGAAACACGAAACGGCTTTAATGCAAAACCACCCATCCACCCTTTATTTACGTAGTAACGGCAAAACCGATCCAATGTTGACAACTCACTTGAAAGTCGGCGGTGGGTTCCCCTGGGCTGAGCATGTTAGGTGCACGTCCGTCTCCGTGTCTGCGGATAACGACGTTTGAACTGATGGCGCCAAACGTGGAGGCATACTACCGGTTGGTTCTGAGGACATACAGATGTATACATCAGCGGTTTCCAAACTATATTAATTCTTCAATAGCATTGAAACTATTAGTTCTTTATATATTTTTCTTTGTTCGCATTCAGATTTTGCTCCGGATAAAAA